TTCTAAATAAGTATCATGAAGCATTTGAAAATAATTGTTTTTTTCTAAGCCTTTTGTTGGCAGAAATCCACTAGCTGCAACAAAAATGTCTTTTCATTGAACCTGGGAGAACTTAGGAAATCCTGACTGGTAAAGAAGTCTCTGTCTTTTCTCTTATTGTGTCCTCTTCCATTAAAAAAAATGAAAAGATGAAAAATCTCTGAAGTTATCTGAGATCAGGGAGAATTTATTTACAATCAAGAGATAATTGAAAGGGGGAACAAATTAATAACAGAGGCAATTGATCAACATTCAATTTTTAATGTCAGAGGGGTGAATAATTTGTTTGACCTGATCTATGAGCTGAGTACAGGAGAGATGCCTAAACAGTTCATTGACATTGGCAAACTGAATAAGTCTTTCAAAGATCATATGTATTTCTATTCAAAATGCAGCAAGAATATTAATGACAAAAATTAGTGTACTTTATTGGAGTAGCTTAAGCTACCAGTAAAGCTCTTTTGTGTAGGTGGTTTTTTTTGTTGTTGTTGCTGGGGTTTAGGAAATTTTTTGGGTTTTTTTTTTGTTTTTTTGGGGTTTTTTTTGTTTGTTTGTGGGGTTTTTTTTTGTTTGTTTGTTTTTTATATTTGCCTTTAGACTGTCTTCAAAATCTATTTTCAGGTTCTGATATGTGGAGTTCTGAGTGACCTTACCTTCCTTTGAGTCAGGTTATTATTATGACACCAACAATCAAATGAGATTCTATGGATCTGTCTGTTAAAACTAGAAAGTTCACATCAGGCTCTGGGTCATTATTTGTTGCAGGAAAACTGGAAACTGGAAGAATTTCTGTTGTCAATGAACATGTGTAAAATGTGGGTGTTGGGGACATTTTCCAGCTGCTTAATCCAGTTGTGCAGCTTGGCTGCATCCTAGCTTCATGTTGGGTCAAGATCCAATGTACATACCTGAAGTTCCACTCATTCCCTGAGCTCCATAAGAAAGAAACTCAGGTTTGCTAAGGTTATGTTGTGGTCCAGCCAGATTCCTAGTCTGGTGTAGGGAGGACAGCAAGACATACTGCAGAGCAATTCTGCCTCACAGTTCATATATAACTCAAGATGTCAGCATCTGTATCACAAGAAGTCAATTACCCTAGATTTCCAAAAGTTCTTTGCTTGTTAGAAGACAGCAGCATTTCCAATTTTACTGAAAGCAGGCTTTAGAACTGCAAATGGTCCTGGGAAGAATGAGGTAAGTTCAAGTACACAATGTTAGTTCAAGTGCCTGACAGCAAAACCAAGTATCTAATTTTGTAATCTGTAATTATGGACTATTTGATGATGCACATTTGGTTTTATTACATCAGATTTAACAAGAAAGACTTATGTGAAGTATGGGATTCATGGTATAAAAGATCCATTCAGTTTTCCATGTTAAGAGAAGACTAAGTCTTTTCAAGGTTCTGTGACACAGAGAGTTTGTGCTAGTCCCTCAGTTTTGGTGAGATATAGTTCATCACTTATCCTGCTCAGCTTACATATGACATCCTGCAGACCTGACAGTTTGAAGCTGTGATAAGCAGATTTTTGGTGTTTATGGAGCTGAATACCTGTTCAGCTCTTCAATAATGTTATCTGTTGAGCATGGATATAGCATAGGAAGGAGGAACTAGTAGAGACCATAAAGACTAGACTGCTGAATCCTGATCTTTTTGCTCATTGATCTGAAGTGTTTCAAAAAAGAGAGTTTGAAATAGCCAATGGCTTAAAAGTCAAACACACCCTACTTGGAGATGTGGAGCACATTTCCTAAGCAGTATGCTTAATCACTGTGCTTTTTATGAAAGAGGGAAGTATATTTTAGCATCATCCCTTTACCCTTACGACCTGGAGTCAGGTTGTATTGGGTCTGCTAGGTGTAATTTATAGCTCAGTCCTACTGATACTGTTTGTCTATTTGCTAGCCCCAGGTAGCTGCATACGATTTTTTGGGGTGATGTTGAAGCCAGTGGCTGCTCGTAGCACCCCCTAAGTGGTACCTGCCTAGAAATACCTACTCTGTACTCTATAAAGGAATGTAAGACCCAGCTCACTTCAGCCCAAGATTCCCTTCTGGGGGACAGCCATTAAAAAGTTGGTTGCTTTAACACCAAATTTAGATGCTTAAGTGTTTTATTGGATCTGGCCTGAGGGCATCAGATTAGAATTTTCTGTCTCCATCAATTTATTTTTTTTTTTAGATAGACACCAACAGCAAATGAAGCCTGAATGTCATGCTTACATTTTCAATTGAATATGTTATTTGAGGTGTTGTGGGAAGGACACTCTCTTGCTGAAGATATGCATGCTGTTTTCTATGGCAAAATATAAAATATTCACCATGTTCACAAAACAAGTTAAAGTATTTCTCTCAAAAGAGCTTCAAACTATGATATTAATGGAAATTCCACAAGTAATTTTCAGGTAATCAACAATAACTGCTTCTTGACAGCAGCAATTAAGGTATAACTTTATCAAATACATGTATTAAAAAGTCCCAGGTTTTGTCTTTCTTTACCCTGTAGAGACAAGATCAGTCTTAGACCTTTGGCTAATATTTTATAACAAAGAATCATAAAATTTCAAAGTATCCTCAGTAAAAAATGGAAAATAATCTAATTATTCTGAAGTCAGAATTGGATTTTCCTGTTAGCATTTATGCATCAAAAAGGGAACTAATGATAAGTATGTCATCCTATATAGTTAGATATTCATTCTGCATTATCAGCAGTAAATCCTCTTAAAAGGTAGGCACAATGTAAATATAACATGCTTATTCACCTTAACAAATATAGAAAGACATATGAATATGTTTCTATAAATATGAAAGACTCAAAGGAAGTTTTAGCATCAACAAAATCCTCTTCAACCTGAGCTGTTTTCTAGCAAAGTCAGCAAGAAAATGATCCAGAACTTTGTTTAAATTCTGTTTCTGGTCTGTTACAATTT